GCTTAGGCTATTTGCTTTTCCTTATCTATTTTAGTTTAATATGTTTTTGAACTATTCAGCAGTGGGGAGGGGGAGGGGGCTTTGTCTGGACCTGTGTAACGACAAGTGTTAAGGTTTTCCTCATCACAGATGTGGAGGACGGCACATTTCTGATGAGAGGTGGGCTTTAATATTGTTTAACATGTAAATAGTCTAAAGGCCACAAGCCAGTTGAGCCCTATTATGATCCCTGTCATGAACTGCATAGAATCTAAGAAATGAGATTTAACAGGTAGACCAAATATATGGGTAAGTGTGGTGTTGGGAACACAAAGTAATAAATATAATATGTTATCTCCAATTCTTAGCCAGTTAAGCTGTGATCACCTCTCCATCTGAACAGCTGTTATATGAGTCTCTACTTTACTATATGCATAGATGTGTAGGCTCACACATTTGCTAATTTGAGAACCACTCATTCTCTAGAAAACACGAGGTTGCGAAATTGGAAATTGGAAATCTTTCAAATATAATTGAGGGAGGCTTCTGACATTGGAATATTTACTACATACTCAGTTCATTGGGAATAAGCATGTTGATGGTTTTTCCTCAGGATTTGGGTGCAGACAGATGGAGATAAAAAAATCCTTTATTTGTGAGATATCAACAGGCAACTATTCTGAACTGTGTCCTAGAAGTGAATGTAAAGTCCTTTAGTGGGTGGTAAAGCCCGGAATGATTTTATGCATCAGGGTGATGATATATATTTAAAGCCGCGAAATTTTGAATTAGTAAATATTATGCCTTAGAAGACACCCATGCAGCTTCACTGTATTTAGTATGAAAAGCCAGTCCTTGGAAAAAAACATATTTCCCATGATAACATGGGCTATAAATGGCAGAATTTGGCTTATTTTCGTTAAAAACAATGGTAGGATACATTTTAGAAACAATATTTAGTAACTAACAAACACAGTACAGTTTTAATTTTTTTTTATACTGAGTACTAGGATACAATACTAACATCTAGTTACAGTGATTTCAACACAGGTGCATTTAGCTTTTTTTTTAAAACCAAAACAATACTTGTTATCACAAGTATTAATTTAAGCGTATTAGATTTAGTCCAGCGGCTTGTACCTGGGTTCTGTTCCTGTCTTACATAGGCTCGTTCTGTGCTTGTGGACAAGTAAGGCAAGCCTTTCTGTCTCTATTTTATTATCTGTAAAATCTGGCTAATATTTCTTTTAGGAATATCATAAGAATTAGAGGTAAAGTCTAATCTCAGATACATGTATACAACTCCCAGTCAGCCTGGCAGGCAGAGTAAACATCTATCTTGCAGGGGTATATGATCCATATAGGGATTTTATGTAGAAAGTGCTTTGAGGATGACCAGCATTATGTGAATGCTAAGTATTATTGTATTTATTACTTTTAAAGATTTTTATGATTTTCCAGAAAACAGGCGCATGCATCTGTTAAGTAACTTAACATTTGTGTAAACCAAGTATTTCCAAACTTCTCCTACTTCCCCACATGCCTAAACATGTGGCATTATAACTGCATTAGGAATAGATCAGACTACCTGTGAGCTCATATAATAACTTACTGCGTATGTTTTGCACTCTTAAATGAGGATTTCACCAGAAATTTTTCTTAAAATAAATCTCACTATATTTTGTTCAAGAAAAGAAACTGCTTAAAATATCTTGGACTCTTCCCACTTTCTAACAGAACAAAGAAAAGCCATATTTAAATTAAGGAAATCCATCCTGTGGTATCTACATTATTATTTTTTTTAAAAGAAGTTGTCTATAATCTGAATAACATGTAAGTAGAAGCAAATGGAATAGATTACAGAAAAAAGTGCTAGCATAAGGCCAAATTTCCACTGACCCTGAAATGAAATAATAAAATTCCTATTGGCAAGTATCTGACCAAAATTTTCAAACTTAAGACACTTAAGATACTTACTTTAAGCCTCCAAGTCTGAAAATATAGGTCTACATTTCTTGATTTCTGCTTCCATAAGCAGCAGTTGCAATCAAAGTTTTTAAAAATGTATTGTGTTCAGTAACAAAATTGTGTAGTGAAATATTAATGAGGAAGAGATAGAGTTTAGCAAGAAAACCTTATCCTGGAAACTCCCAGTATGCATCTAGTGTTTACATATGCCAGGGTTCTGTAAAATGATCATTTTGTACATCAACACGTATCTTTAGAACATATTGTAAGAAGTAGATATTGTGAACATACTGGAATGGTTCATCTAAGTCGTTTTCATATTGCTAATGTCTTTATAATGTATATACAAGGTAAACTACCTCAGTCTGCATTTGCTACGGACAAAAATCATTCTGCTTAAAAGCTTTTTATTCCATAGCTTCTCTATTAGTAGCCCTATTGTTCAGCCTTTCATGTTGCTGGGTAAAGTGTCTCATTTCAGCAGTCAAGATCTGGAAACTAGCCAAAGCTTTAGAAATCAAAAGGCAGATTTCATATTACGAAAAAAATCTCATACAAGACACATTACCTTAGCCATTGCTCTCTCTTTTTTCTATGAATGCTCAAAACCACCGGGTGTGTATCCCATGTGGTTCAATGTTGCAGGGGAAACATATTAGCTTTTCAAATTTTAACTTTTTTCAGATATTTCTGATTAGTTTTCCATAATGTGTCACTACCTTAGAAAATAATACAATGCCACTAGCTGCAGCAAAATGTTTGTATAAGTCCTTTACCCCTCCTCATCATAATGTTTAGTGTTTTGTTACAGTAAGTCCACCCTCGATATAGTAATAGTGTTTGTAAAGTGAAATGTATACACTATTTTATCCAGGTCAAAAATAAAAAATATCTCAAACTAAATTTCTTACATAAACTCTCACATTATGGTCTTCTCTGAGAAATCTTTGACAACATTTTTGGAAATGAATCAATAGTTTTATTTTTCAAAACAGCTTGGTTGTGAAGGCTTTGGGGCAATTACGGGGTCAAAAATAGTACAGCAATAAAGAACCCAGTTCTGCAACCATTGTTCTGGTGGAGCTGTACCTTGTTCCATGGGTTGAAACACGCTGACTGGGTGAAATACAATACACAAACAGCTTATCACAGGGCAATGGGGCAGTGGGACTTTACTACACATAAGCTTCTCCATGTGCATGCTCTTCCTAGAATAAGTGGAAGCTAAACTGTGCTACCCTAGTCCTCTTTGATATAGGGCTAAGATACTACAATTTCACTTTCAACTCTGAAAGGTCATGCACATGAGCTGTTACTGCATAACAGATGCCACACATTGCTCATCCCCTTTTATTTCTTCTACAGTGTATTGTTTGTATGTCTATATCTTCACTGACATCAATGGCTAATTCCCCATTCTATCCAGAATTTTAACCACTATGGAAAAATGTGGCAAAATTACACCCCAAAACATAATAAGAGCCAAAAATTTTTTTGTTTTAAATTCCCAAATTCAGTACACAAAAAATAAGGGTCAATACACAAAGAAGCTCTCTCATCTACAGATATATGTACAGAAGTTAGGGAGAAGTCAGATTGCATTATAAATGGACACCCAATTTAAATTACTTTGGCTAGGTGCAGATCTTACACTTAGATCCCCAGTTAAGTCAATCTACATGTGAACTGTACAGAAGTTCTGGAAGGTTAGATCAGTCTAAAAACAGCCAACCCAATCTAAGTTAGTTCCTCCGCAGTAGTCTATCTTAGGCTGGGTTCAGTGAGACCGATGTAACTGAACTTCCATATAGTTCCCAATGCAGCCCTGAGGATGCTGGCCACAGCCACAGGTCTGTGCTTTTCCAACCCCCCCCCCACCACCTGCCCCCCACCAGACTATAGTTAGCCCCTGGGCCCCTCACCCTACCCCCAGACAGCTACACCACTACCTCAGCCCACCCATCCCCACAAGCCACTCCTGGTGCTGGTTTTACTGGTTTTCGCTGATCCTGGGAGTCAGTGGAAGTAAGCTGGGGTGGGGGCAAGGGTGAGTGGCATAGGGAGAGTTGTTCCTTCAGGGTTGGAGAGAGAGCCCCCTTGCTAAGCCCCTCTGCAGACCCTGCTAGCCTCCCCTGATCCTACTAAACCCTCCCAGACCCCATCAACCCCCACACGCACACGCACACACACACACGGCCCCCTCTATCCTCCACGGACCCTGTTTGCCCCCTCAATCCTCCTAACCCCACTCCCCTGATCCTGATTTAGTTTAGATTGGGTGGCCATTTTTCAACTCAATCTAACCTCCCTGAATGTCTTTACGTACCCCTACTGTAAGAGGTCAGGTAAAGTCCAAGTCCACATCCTCACTGTCAGAAGTTCTAGTAACTTTTCAGTGACCTATTCAGGGGATGGATTGTTTTTCTGTGCTTAGGCTAGGGTAGATAGGTAGTACAGTTTCATCACAGAAGAAAAGAGAAATACAATAAGTAATGCAAGAGGTATGTGAGAGCTACTCAAATGGAAGTCTGGATTTACCAGAGGTTACATGTGGAGGTACCTGGCACTGGACAGCTTAGAAACAACACTAGTTTTCCAGGAAAATTAGCTTCTGTGTCCTTCAATGCCATAATGCAAGCTAGGATTCTGCACTACTTCCCAAACCCCAGAACTCAGTAGTTGCCGCCTTTGGGGTAGGAAATTAGATGACTGCTCAAATACATTTTGGACAATTCTCTACACCAAACTACTGGTTGCCTGTGCACAACTATCCCAACAGGTATATATCTTCCCTGTAATATTGATTATGGGATGGCAGGAGCATTAGCTCCTTGAAATTATATAAAATAGAAGGAATTAAAGTTATCATGGAAAACAAATAACGGGATTGCAGCCATCTTTTAGTCTTTCATACATAACAATTTTACCTCATATCTTCAAGATTTTGCCATTAACACAATCTCTCGAATGCTGTCTTTTTTATATTTTTCACTTCATACTTGCCAGTTTGTTTGTTTTTTGTGACAGTTCAAATGCACAAGCCACTACATCAAGTGACACAATCCATGTTTTATTGCATTTTTATTATGTGGTCTCCAATATTTTTTTATTTTTTATACAATTAAATGAAATACTGTCAAGTAATCAACAGAACACATGTTGTAAACACTGATTAATAAAAGGTTCAAAAAGAAAAATGATCCCAATTAAGGCTGTTAACATTTTAGTAGAGGTATTTTTTGTTAAAATGTTAAGCGCAGAACTTCTGCCTAAAAATTTGTCCTGAGTTGAAAAGTAACTGAAATCAAAGAGGCCTGGGTTCTCACAACAACTTCTCTTCACAAAGAAATGGGAAAATAAAGCAACTGCAACAACGAAAATTAACCCGCTCTGGATCCTAAAACCTTTCCCTGCAGTTTAGTGTTCAGGTCCAGGGCAGGAATGAGGAAAGACTCCACGCAGGTCAAAGGCTTTGCTGAAGTCAAAGGATTCTACCTGTTGGCCTTTGATCAACATCAGGTTTCGCAAACACCCGTGGAATGAGCTCTTGCTAGTCAGACAGTTTTGCTTCACATCAGCTGAAAAACAACAAGAAATACATAGACTGGAAGGGGACTAAAATAATGCAAAGACAGAAAGATCCTGGCTGAGAAGTAATTCTTTAAAAAATGACTAGCAATAAAACATAGGTCCTAAAAAGCACCAGATCCCACAATATATCAGTGTACGCAGAGGGTGCTCACACCACTGTGGACATGATCGCTGACTTACAAGGTAAGGCTGCTGTACTTAGGTTGTAGTGCTGACACAAGCAAACTTGACAAACTGATCTATGCCATAGTTGAGAAAAGAATTAACTTCAGCCTGAACGCAAAGGAGGAGAAGGCCAATTTTCAATCACTAACAAAGCCACCTGGTTCAAAGCAGACCTTTTGCCAGGATGTTTGCAGCTGCTGGACCTGAAGAGCCATGAATAAATTAGTCACTCCTTGGCCCCTCTCCCAACCTCTTCCTTCATGCTGAGCTCTGTGAAATTGTTACAGGCCTTTATGTGCCACTGGTTGTATGCAAGGTATGAAGCTGTACATGGCTTGCTGATGCACTTTCAGTGTTAAGGGGCCTCCTGTTCCTATACTTACTATGAATCTTACTAGTATTGGTATTAGTACCAGAAAAGAGCCCAGCAGAACTTTGATAAAACTCTCTGTGGAATTCTAGAAGCTCAAACACTAGCTGTGATCTGCTAGGATTAATTTATTAATATCTGTAAAGTACTTTGAGCCTAAACACCAGAAACTGCTATGCAAGGACGAGGTATTATTTCTAAGCTTTCCTAATGTATAAAAACACTGATTAGCCTGTGGATTTCATAATCCTAAATGCTTCATAACAACAAATAGGAATATTATCTGATCTGATAAACCAGAACAGTTGTTTCAGAGATTAATTAATGTGGGCAGTTTGACATTCTGTTTAAAAATGTGTATTATGCCATCATACTTGGTCAACTCAATCTCAGTACAAACAGGGCTATTAAAAAGCTATAGAAACACATTTACCCTGCTTGCAAAGTGGCTGTTTTTCAGATGTTACAAACTCAGCCTTCTTAATGGATAACTATAGTATCAGATGTGATCTTGCTCACATTAAGGATTAAAAAACCAGCACACTAAAAGTAACAAATTTCTGTTTTTCTTGGTATCAGCAGGGTAGATATGGACCTTATAGGCTAACTCAGGGGTTGTCAACTGGGGGTATGCATATCCCTGGGGATACTTGGGAAGCCCCCAGGGGGTATGCGGCAGCGGCGCAAAGAAGTTGGGGGGCACGGTTTTGCCACTGGCACTTCTGTCAGGGGGACACCCACCCTGCTGTCTGACCAGCTGGGGGACTCCCTACTTCTGGACAGGCTGCCGGGGGCACACTAACCAAAAACGGTTGAAAACCCCTGGACTAACTAAATCAGAAATGCATAAGCTTTTGTAAGCCACAGTATACTTCATCAAATGCTGAGAAGGGACTGTAGGAAGCAGAGCTTCTAAATAAAAAGCAGTGATTTGAATACAAAGGGTGGGGAAGGAGGAGGAAATACTTGGTATTACTCTAACATAATGACAGAACAATGTTTATTTCAGAAAGGTGATTGTGCAAAACATATGAGACCTGCAGATAAACTGGCATTGCCTCTATCCTGGTGTCTGCTGGCAGAGACTCTAGCAGGTATTCTGGGTAGAACAAAGCAGCTACCAACCTCCCACCCCCTCTAGAGGATCAGCCCAACCTGAATAGTGCATCACAGCAGCTGTGTAGGAATGTGGTTAGAACAAGAGGATGGCCATGGTGAGTACCCAGACAGATGGGGGAAAATGTGTTGAAGAAGAATCTCCACACATAGGAATCATGTGAGGCCTCAGACAAAGTCAAAACCCCAAGGAAAGGAACTCCTTCAAAAGCTGTACTACTTCTCCAGTGCTAGGAACCAGGTTTCACACTGAGGAGTGTAAAGTGGTATCTTCTTGTACCAAGCTCAGTTGATTTAGGTCTATAAATTTATACTCAAAGCTAAATTTAATCGAGAATTATTTTTATGACTGGGATTATTCCATCCTCCACCAATTCATTTTTTTTAATTCAAAACATTAGTAAGCTCATAGCATCTCACATAACATTTGCAAAATAGTTATCATGATCTATACTTCTGATGAACTGAACACATAGTTTTCTTTTATGAGAGAAAAAAAAAACTATTATACATACTGGGATAGCCTCCAACATAAATAGGATTGTTTGTATCTGCAGATGTTGACTGGATATGAGGATTATCGGCCTGGACCACATTCCCATCAATTATCAGAGCAATTCGATGTTTGCTTTTGTTTGCTTGAAGTTTGTGCCACTTCCCATCGCATAAGCTATTTGCATCTCTTGTTTCATATGTGGCTGTTATTTTGCCAGCTCCATTGTTGACATGGAACAAAACCTGTTCAAATATCCAGATGCCAATGAAGATACAGCTAGCATGAACACAGAAAGCAACCTAATAAAAGCACAATCATGGTGGTATACATTCCTTGTGTAGTGATTTCACCAAGCCTTAAGCTCAACTTGATATGGGGAACTTAGAATTTTAAGTATCTTGAAACGTAAACATGAGAAGCTTAACTATCCACCCTACCCCTGGTATTTTTAACTTGGGATTTAAAGGTTTGCTGTCAATTTAGACTCAGTCCTTTTCTCATTGTTTTACACAGTATTTTTGCTGTGATTTAAACGTGAGTTACACCTGGTTGACATCAGAGTAAGCAAGAGAAGAACTAGGAACATTATGTCCAGAAAATTCTTTTGTGGGTGGTGATATGTAAGATAGAAAACATCAGGTCAATGCCAATAAACATATGGATATGTATTTGAAATTATTCTATTTTTTTGTTCTTTTAATTTTATAGGCAACTATTTGTCTTGTAATACTAATATGTAACCATTACCCTCATAATGTGCTTATTGCGGGAAAAGGGATATATCAAAGTCCCTATAGCTGGGAAATTTTGAATAGAAAATGAGCTACTTCTCGGAAAAAAAATACTGAAAAACAATCAATTATACATGTATTGCATAGAACAGATGAGTGATGAATTATGTATTAATTGTTAGAAGGTATTTTCCGTGCTGGTTTATGGAGCTTAATGGCCAATGAGAACTGGGAACACAGCTAATTGCTCTGAGTATTTTCCATAAATATTGACATTCACTCTACTGAAGGAATGGCTTGCAACAACAGCTTTTTATACTAGTTAAAGAAGTGGGGAACAGGATTCCAGGCTTGTGTTGCTCTGGGAAATGTGGAATAGTCTCTGGATAGCTATTTTGTCATGAGTTTTGCTTGTTAAAGGGCATGATGACAGCACTTTGCAAGCCTGGAGGCTTAAGTTCAGGTGTTGCTCGGACTTGCATCAAAGACAACTATTGACCGAGTTCTGAGTAGGTACCTGGTCATCATGCTAGGGAGTCAAAGGCACCCAGATGTGATACAATCAATATGATTCCTTTGTGTAGCCTAACCATACTGCCCTAACATGCCATCTAGGTTCATGATGGTTTATGGATTGTTTGTAAATTAAAGAGGGTGTGCTTTATTTAAAATAGATTTATAAATTAATTTTAATATAGTGATGAGTTACCTAATTAATGATACCACATATAATTTGGTTATTTTTTCTTAGGTAAAGAAATGGCTTGGACAGGGAATCATAAGAACTTTAAATTAGCCTCCTTTACACCAAGAAAGAGCTGTAGGTTCTCTCTTAATAGGACTTAATAAGGCACTGTCGGAAGAAACCTAAAATGGCAGAAGCTTGGTTCTTGCAGACTGTTTAGACCACGTGTTTCCTCATGGTGCAAATTATTAGAAAACTTCTTATATTAAGTACTGTTCATATTTATAATTTAAAATGTTTATGTCTTCAATCTCTTTCAATAAAGTGCTGTATTTACATACACATCTCTGATTCATCATTGAGCTGCCTCTACTTTTCTCACTAATTGTAGGGTGACAACCAAATGCAACTACAAATTGCTATTTATGCTCAGACTTCCTGTGCCATCAACATGCTTAGGTTAGATGAGTCCTGAGGACACGTCAGGAAGGACTTACTATAAAAGGAAACCTGGCTTCAAGAGCTTGTGTTTCGAAGAGCTTCTAAAGGAAGACCGATGGCGGGGAGGTGTGAATGAGGAAGAGGGTTGGGATTAGGGCAAAAGGGGAGGCCTAGTAGTATAAACATATCTGGGGTTCTGAAGGTGCTTAGCAGTGTTGTATCCATTCAGCATCAATGGATGGCTGAGATTTGAGGCTTTAAGGCTAAGGATGGGGTGGAGGTATAGTGGTAGAATCACCAAATCTCAGATAAAGGCATAAACACACTTCTGTCCCCAGAAAACTCACTTTATGGAAAATATTCCTGCAAACAAAAGTGGTACGTTTCAGATATTTTGGTTCAAATAATCATGGGCTTTTCTTAGTACACAGTTATTCTAAACTGGTTTATGCTTCTCCTCAATGTCAATTTATTGTTTAGACCATATGGCTGAAACATTTTAAGTACTGTTCTTAGCTTTTAATTTTGCTGATAAATTTCTTTTAAAATATAACTTACATTTAACAAGTAATCAAAAATTTGCTCTTGATTCACTTAAAAAAAATCTCATGTTTATACTGATCCCATTCAAGATATTTAAATTTCTCTTTTGTTTTAACTGCAGCTAAAAAAAGAACTATTTTTTGTAACAGAACTTTTATTTTCCTAAATAAAATTAAGTTGATGGATTTATAAAATCAGTTTGATAAATAACTAAAAATTCTAAGAAAGAGGGAAACTTAAGCCAACATTCTTGCATATACTTTTCTCCAAGCTTTGTAGCCTCAATTTAAAAGACAGTGACAAAATACTAAATCATGACACATTCCATATCCAGAGAATTTCTTATCTCAGTACATTAATAAGACCCTCACCTATACTTGCCAAGTTTTTTTGGTTAATATACAGCAGCTAAGCACTTATGCAAGAGCATGTCTGGGAAAGGGCAAGTTACTGGCACTGAAAAAGGAAACAAGTTATAAGTAAGGAAGCTGGCTTGTACAATGAACAATATATACAGTATAGTAGCTTATGCAAATATAAAAGAAACAGCAATCCTATAGGCTACCAAACATACTGTGGTTGCTTTCCATTTTACATGATTCTTCTATGGAGAGAATGACTGGCACTTTTATTTATTACATATTTCGTAAGTTATTATCCTTAAATCATAGGACAAGAAGTCATTGTGTTGTGGCAAACATCATGATAAGAACTCATCTTCCTTGTGACCCAAAGTCAATCCCAGGCTAAGTGGTAGTGAATCATGGCAGCATCTTTGCTACTATTGCTTCCTGGTCTTTTGCTTTCATCATATATGGTTGAGGTATTCTTGCTTATACTCAACAATTCTGACCTTCCAATTTAGCTCAAGACTTGGCAAATTTCTACAGTGAATGACGATATTTAGATGCAACCCACCTTGCCATTTACAATCTCCAATCCAATGGCATCTACTTTAGCACTGCTAATTCCAAGAAGAACTCCATTTGCAGCAGTGGTACGGAACTCAAATGTAACATTCACATCAGATCGGACTTTATAACCTTCTCTAACTGAAAGAAAAGATGCCTAAAATAAAAGATTTGTAATCCACAGTATAAATAGGCTGTGACGGACAATATGATAGGCCTATTAATCATCAAAATCCTGAAAGGGGGAGAAAATTATTTGAAGGCTACAGATGAAATTCAGAAATAATATGGAAAGTGGTGAGAGTTAAACTCCCTTGCATTCTTTGATGCCTTCTATTCTCACTTAGGATTTGAACAAACAACATTTTTACATATTAGCAATTATAAAAAAAACAGTGGGCACAGACACAGTCTTCATATAAATCCCATATAAAATTACTCTTGCAAAAGTTGCGGATAAAAGTAAACCAATTTAAGTTACGCTGTACCTTATCTTGGACTAGCCATTCAAGGCACACAGATTACCACATTTCCTTGAGTATAGGATAAGGAAATTCAGCATGGTGGGGGGAGACCTCTTGTCTTAGAACTGAGTACGGATCAGGCAAGCAGCTGCTGCGGCTGCAGCTCCAGGTGGGGCCAGGGTGGATCATGAGACAGGTAAGGGATATATGGAAAGGTGGAGGGAAGAGGTGCATGGTGCGGGGGGGAACATGGGGGAAAGCAGAGTGAGGGGATTGCCAGGAAAAAGATGTGCAAGGTAAGGGGGCATGGGGAAGAGGACCCATGGAGTGCAGGGAAACCGCATGGGGGAAGGGACACGTGGAACAAGAGGACAGCAGTGCATCAGGAAATGCAGGGAAAAAGGTGTATGGTGAGCAGGGGGGGCACAGGGTAAGGGCACACAGTGGGAGGTGGGAACACAGGAAAAGGGTATGCAGTACAGGGAAGGACAGGGGGAAAGGGTATCTAATGTAGAGGGGACATGGAAAAATGGTACATAGTGAGGGGAAATGCATGAGAAAAGGGGGCAGTGAACGTGGGCACAGAAAAAAGGAGCCTGGTGTGGAGGGAGCACAGGTGAGGGGCGTGTGGAGCAAGGGGTATGTGGTAAAAGGGTACAGGGTAAAAGGAGTGTGGAGGGAGGGGGTGCACAGTGTGGGAAGGAGCATGGAAAGGACACATGCAGGGGGCAGCACAGGGAAGGGGCACATGGTGTGGGGGGAAGCATAGGGGAACAGGTGCCACACGGAGCACAGGTGAAGGGATGTGCAGAGCAAGGGGAATGTGGACAAGGGACATGTGTGCAAGGGAAGTGTGGCACAGAACAAGAGCAGTGTGGGGAAGGTTCACATGGTACAGGGGGAGCATGGGGAAACAGGGGCACAAAGTGGCTGGGGAGATGCTGTGACTCCGGCCCTGACCCCAACTGGGGCTGGAGGCTGAAGCTGGAGCCACCACTATTGCCTGGTCCAGCCAGGTGCTCCGTGTCCCCAGCAGAGACAGAGAAAGAGCACCTGAAAAGGAAAGGAAGAGGGGACTGGCACAAGATGGGGGCAAGTGGTAGGAAGGGGAAGGCACTGGGAGAGGACAGGCAGCAGGAAGACAGGCACAGGGGGCAAGTGGCAAGGTGGGGCAAAGGGCAGGGAACAGACTGCCTGCCCCCCAGCCACTACTTTCCCTGTGACAGTGATGGGAGGGATGAATTTAAGAGGACTCTAATAACTAGATTCTAGGGCTATGCGAAGCTTCAGTCCCTGATTTGAGTCAGCGGAGATTTGGCCCAATTGGTTGGCCGAATCTGAATCAAATCAGGATACCCTTTAATCTCTCTGAATCGAATCAGAACCCTCCGAATCGATTCAGAGATTCGATGGTTCAGACATAAGACACAGCTTTAAGTGTTTTTTCTACATACCTCAAGGTACCAGGTAGGGTGGATGGAGCTTCCCACCAAAGCGCGGGGAGGGTAGTGTCCCCAGCGCACTCGGAAAGAGACCCAGAAGTGAGCCACAAGCACTTCTGGGTCCACTGCAGAGCACACGTGGGTCCCCCCCACCCCACATGCTCCTGTGGGACACTCCATCCCCCTCACCATCTCAGCATTCATGAGCCGCGTCTGGTACCTTGAGGTATGTAGAAAAAACATTTAAAGTTGTGTCTATGGCCAAATCGCTGATTCTCCAAATCAGCATCGAATCTTCAGATTCGGCCAAATCGAATTGGGACAGTGATCAACAAATTGAATCACTGTCCCCCGAATCAGGCCAAATCCAAATCCAATACGGCCCACTTTGCACACCCTTACTAGATTCTAGACTAAGACAATTAAAACAAATTTATAATTTTCCATGTATACAATCTAACTGGGGGGCAGGGGTCTCACCTTAAATTCAGGGTCATTTTAGATTTGAGTAAATATGTATTACCTGCCTTCCCATTCCCTAGTAAACATGGCTAAGTAATAGCAGCCTAATGTGTGCAGCTACCCCAAAACAGGGGTCACTTGACCATTGTAGATCCTACTGTAATTTTCATTAGTATAAATGTGTCATGTCTAAGTCTTTAAGACTCTTATATACCAATACAATCAAACTTACATGTTGAAGAAACAGAATAAAATTAAAGTGAGCTACACTATTTCAAATAACTCTCCCTTTCATGTCTTTTGACTCCTTGGTCATAAAAATACACCAGCTTAAGCTCTTATATATACATATATGCAGAAATACAAAAACAAGTACCACAGTTTCTGTAGCAGTTTCTCTGCTACAAAAGAGATAGGTCTTTACTTATAGAAAAGACTCCTTAGTTGACTGCCAGATCACTGGTGAGTGAGAAGAGGCTAGAGTCTTGGATGTAAAAAGGCCAGGAGTCAATTAGAAATGTATACACAAAACATACAAGAGTTGATTGAAGCATCATTAAATTATGTTAATTTCTAGCAAGACAGAAAAATGATGTATTTTCATTAACACTAATTCAATAAGCTATTGGTTCTATTAATGGTGCTTACCAAGAGCAGCAAAGCCACTTCCATCGAAGTAAGTGCCTTCCTGTGCTGTTGCATAGCATTTATTCACAGCAAAGATGGAGACTGGGCTTTCTTTGTCCAGTGGCTTATTGTTAACCATTACACTGCCAATGCATGCAGGGATACTGTTGGTGACCTAGATATGATAAATCACATAGTTTGGAAGTCAATCTCTCTGCAGTACTTGACACCAGGAGCTATTCTCTCTGAAGAGAACATTTAAGGATATAAAGTACCTACATAATTATTTAGATAATGTGACAAATGCAAGCAGCACCATAGGCAGAAGCTCTGCCACCAGACAGGGTGAAGTAAAAGATCCTGTTCAGCA